ACAATTTTGGATACGGCATTGACTCATAACAATTCTGACCAACAACTTAGTGTAAAAAGGCCCTTTACGTCCAATTCGTCATTTCCGACATGTTAAGGGCATCAAAGTGACCTTTATGCACTACCGTATCCAAAATATAACAATTTGCATGGTGTTCCTATTTGTGAGATTTCAGAAGCCTAACAATGGCTCTTATCATATCTATATCTCCACCTTTATCATGTTTATGTTATATTCCTTGCTATTATCAATATGAGGCATACATGTTTTAGTGCTGGTGTAGGAAGGACAGGTACATTTATTGCTATCGATGCCCTTTATGAGAATGGCAAGAACGTTAGCTACATTGCCATTATGAAGTATGTTCAGATGATGAGAAAAGACGGAACGAATATGATTCAAACACATGTATGTAACATATTTAACGAACATTAAAAACATATATATTTGCATTAATAAATTATAGCCTGTACATTGACTCTGAAGACAACTAATTAAATTTCAAGTATTTTCTATTAAAGTCATACTTTACAGTCAGTTGACATTGAGCTGTGAATCTGCAATATAAGTCGCATTATGCTAAGATCAAATGTTTTTTTACTACAAATAGACCAAGGATTTAGAATAAAGCAAAACAAAAGACTTCTGATCAACTGTTATGTCTCTTTAGGGATCACCACCAATTCACCAACTCCAATTTAGAACGTATGTAAAAGTAGCTCTTCCCTGAAAAATAGTACTTTTGATGTCATTGTTTACTTAAACTAACCAACAAATTTGCAGAAATGAAACTGTTGGTGAAAGAAAAATATATTCAGACCATTTTGAGCAAAATTTACTTGTCCATGAGTTTGCATTGAAAATTGAGGATTTTAAATGCGCTAAGATGAGTTTATTTATATTCATAGTATACTAATTTAAGATTTCCAGAAAACCAGGGGTTATTTTTAGTAGTACTTGGCTCCCGAACGTTAGTTCTTTGTTACTGGACTTTAAACATGGGTTTAAGATTGGCATGTAGAAAGGTGATACATGTATGATTCAGGATGTACCTGGTTTCAATGAAGTTAAACGGAAGGTAAAATATTTAGAAAGCTGTGAAAATTGTAAAATTTGGTTGAATAGATAGGGATTTTGAATTGGTGGTCTGACACCTTTAAATGTAATTCAAATATCATACAATTATTGACTAATGATACGGTTGATACAATGATATATTAACCCTAGAGATATGATATTCACCGAGGATAACGGCCGAGGGTGAATATCTTATCTTTGGGTTGGATTAATCATTGTAACACCTGATATCAAATGTCAACAATTGTTTTATTATACCTCTTTCTTTATCTATCTCCAATTTCCAATATTTGCTCAAGATATTTAACGGCTCCTTTTATACTATATAGGTTATCTGGGTTTTTTTTCAATACGATTTATTAAAAAAAAAATAACATCGAATAAAAGAAGAACAATGAGAATGTTCATGACGTAATAAGGCTATATTATTAGCGTTACCTAAGAAAAAACTGTTAATAGGTACACGTTAGCTGTACCAAATCTTGTATTAACCTCTCGTGATTTTTCCCGCGGTGAATATAACGTTTTATCAAAAAAGACGCCCTATGTTTTTAGCCAATGAGAAAAGAGAATTGTTATAGTCATATAATAATAAAATTTACAGATTTGTTTTACCCTTTTAATTTTGAACGTAAACAAGTATTATAACTTTATATTCATATACGAAAATTATAATTGAATGAATATGTTAGGTTGGGATTGTCATTGATTGATAACATACAAACACTTTTTGATGTAACTAGAACTATGTCTTTGGAATCTCCGTCATTGAATATTTTAACGTAAAACATCATACATTATAAAGTTGGTCTTTTTCACCAAAGCAGATGCAAGTACACTAATTATAAGTAACTGGAAAAAGGCGTACTTTTTAGTCGCTGTTAATGTTCGGTGTCCTTTCTTGATTATATCAAACTGGTTAAGCGAATAATATTTATCGTCCATCGATCTATTGGTAAAGATCGCAATACTAGGAAGAAATCTAATGGTTGTGTGTTTGTTTTGTTTTTGTATTACTGTCTTATTGACCCAGGACCAGGACGACCTTTTATTTAAGACATATACTTACATTTTAGAGATATAAAATCATGTCAAAATGTAGATATACCCAACACCTCGATATGTGCTTGTCCTTTAGTCAAGGACCTCGTCAGTGGTTATTTGTAATTATATCCTGTAATAACTATTTATCCATTTGAAGCAGTTGGTACACCGGAATTCGAATATCCGTGTTTTCGTCTTTCCCGATCCAATTATGTGTCGTTTATAAAACTAAAACATTAGCTAATTGTATATAAATTAAACCCACAGAATTTCTTTCATTAATCAACATTACGAATTACAGGCATGATATACTAATGTATTCAGTGAAAGAATTCTTTCTTCCGATGGTCTTATTTTAAATACTTATTGGCCTCTAACAAATACAACCGATTTAAATTATAAGCCATTATGAGCTCGAGACTTCATGAAACCTGAACGTGTAAAAGTATATTTATTCCGCAAAACAGAAGTTCCACTTGAAACTTGTTAGAAACAATGCCATGATATCTATTCCTAATTGAACAAATGACTTATAATCTTAATTGCGTTAGAAACAAACACTGTAATATTTGTTCCTTTGGAAATAATATTACAGAATAATTCTTCCATTTTATGCAGGAACTTCTATTTCATCACAGACGAGTGTTGTTTCTATTTATTTTGTCTTAAGCGGCAGTATCCAACCAACAGCTGTGGCTACATGTACCGTAGTACGCATTTAAAAGGAACTCAGCAGGATACTCCACTATGAAGGGACAACCTGCCAGACAGACAGTTCAGAGACAGATTTGGGGACCCGGGACCCCTTATGGAGCTTTTTTATATGATACATGTATAGGCATTTTACAAGTATCACTTCAACCGTAGGCTTGCCAGACACCCCCCTTTCAACGACTCTATAGATCAAATATAATTGACGGGTTTTATTAAAAAAAAAAAACAATATATAAACGAAAACAAGTTATGACAGACAGCAACCAACAACAATCCCTTAAAAACAATCTCCTGACCATAGAGAACAGGCACATGTATAACGTTGCGGGAATAATTATGGTTGTGAGTGTCCAACCCTCCCACTTCATTGCGAGGGTGATATTACAAGTTATATTTACAGAAAGGTTAGTTCTAGGTGAATTGTAATGCAAGGGCGTGATAATATTCGAATTGCGCACGAAATGAATATCTACATCCCCTGTATTGTCAATCCCTAACAACTTCTACATTGTACAGTAAATGTTTTGTTTCGAATACTAATAAACATATTCATGGGGGTTATCCCGCGATACTTTTTTGATTTAACGATCTGTGCATAAAAAAATTCTTGTAGTAAAAATAGTCCTCAGAAAAAAGATGACGAGGGAAAGCAATCGGATTAAATGGATAAAGACAAGTGGATTTAACTCGAAAGGTAAGAATGTTTCATTGCAAAGAGTTCAAGCTCGGTATGCCCGTTTAGGCATGAAGTTTGATAGATGCCGTCTTTAATGTTTGTCATGCATATACATACATTGTTTTCCAATGTGAGTTGTCGCAAAATTCAATCAATATGTCCTTTTGCAAATTTGAGGAAAACATGTATTATTTTCAATTTGTCTTTTACATAAATTTTAAACAGTCATTGCAACTTAAATCAATGTACATATAGATATATAATAGGCACTAAGTATAAACCCTTTTGGGGAACAATATACATTGTAAATCTTTGTAAATATTTGAGTCATGTTTTTTTTCCATGTACATGGTATTTGCATATGAAAATGTCTGTTCTTTAAATCGTAAAAAGGGTTTATTGAAGGAGCAAGCCTGCACTATAACTTCCAATATATCATAAAATATAAAGTTTGATCAAGTCTTATGATGAAATGCAATTCAAAAACGATTTTGGTTTAAATTTTACATGGAATACAATATAATACATTTACACATCATACTACCTATATTGAGTAAACATTTATGAGGCTACACGAATGATTTGCTGTTATCATTCGTCCAGCCTCTTAAATTGTCTTAACAATAACCACAGCGTACATTACTGTCATTAAAATTATGAATGTTCATTTGATCTGCACGAAGAGGAACATTCAAAGAAATGTTACCTGCTTAGCCTAGTGGTAGATTAGAATCTCACATCGTCTCAATCAATAAAAACTCATTTAATATAAGGTACACTACTATAATTCAATACAGAAAGTATTTGGAAAAGATAATAACATTGGTGGCCTTGGACTGTGTTCTGATCTTTGGTCGGGTTGTTGTCTCTTTGACACATTCCCTGTTTCCATTCTCAATTTTAAATTAATAATTTTAACTTCGAAACATAGTATGGATGTAATTTATTCTTTAAAAATGCTTAAAAGACTCGGACTAAGGTACCATGTCTAGGAATCGTGTTGGGAAATAACGTAAATAGCCTCATCCTACTCTATTCTAGCGTAAAATTAAAGGCTTTATGAAACTTCGGAGTGTGCTTAGTAAAACAAATGAGAACGGATATTTTTTTGGCTTTTAAATTGAAAAAAAAAAATTAGAGATCTATCAAAAAGTTTCCTTTTGATGTTCACGAGATACTTTAAACTTGAAAAAAGGAAAACAAAAAAGCATTGATATTACTTGTCCATTTTGTCATGCTTGTGCCTATAAAAATAATTACTTTGAGAGAGAATTTCAAATTTGTAGGAAGTACACTTAGTCTAAATACAGTTGTATCAATAGTTTTACTTGAATTAACTAAAACTATTCCATATGTTACAGTAAATTTGTATAATTAGAGATTATGTATAACCACTGGTTACTTTAGTGATGATATTTAGGAATTATACATAATCACTAAAACAAATGTCAAAGGTTATACATAATAACTGTAATGAAGAGACAACGAATAAAGCTTAAATAATGTATTCTATACAATCATATATAAACATCTTGAGCAATATATATATCAAAATTTTAAGCCCCATAATCTAGTACAAATAATTTATTTTTACAAACTTCATAATTTGCTGTTTAAAGTGTCTCTGTGTCTATTATAGTTTTCAAGATAATAATACATCAACTTCATTTAAAATTATGTGGATAGTCGTTAGACGATTTCCTGCATATTGACTTATATGAAGACCTTGCTGATCATTTTGCTCATTTCAGTTTCTATCTATCTATTATAGTTGGCCATAGACCACAATTAATTTACCTATCATTTCTTTTTAACGTTTTGCACATTAAAAAAAAATAACCTGCAAATTTGCCAAATTTTGGTATGTGTAATGTACAGTACAAGTCTCACATTATATCCAAGTTTTAGGAAAATTCCTTCTATACAGGTCATTAATTTAGCTGGTATGGACAAGTCAAGAGGTGTTCCGAAAACTATCAATGATACCTTTTGCAACTGGCCTTATCACTCATTCTCACTACTGAATAGTTAAAATATTGCATCCAAAAATTTATTTCAACTCTCTTCTTTCATTCCCATCCTATAAAAACTAAGAAATGAATCAAGAAGGCAGAGAACAAAAATAAAGAAAAAAGACACTCTAATAGCAAGGAACTATATTCGTGGACAACGAAAAGCGGGGTCATTAATTGTGGTCTCGGGCCAGTTTTTAAGATAGAAGACAAAAACGCAGTTTTACTTTGGATCTTGTCTTGCTGATAATTTTTGCGTGTTTAAGTTTCTACATATATATTAAAATTCTTAAGATATAAGACAACAGGCAAAAAATTGATAAAAATAAAATCGGCATTAATGGGCAATAACTACAAGAAGGAGTTGTCGGACGATTTACTCTATGTTGACTTATATGTAGATCTTGTCTTGCTGATCATGTTTGTTTATTTAAGTTTCGATTTATTTATTAGAATTTTAAGATTTAAGGCAAAAATGCACAAAAATAGGAAAAAATGTTATGAAAGGGCAAACATTCTAATAAAAAGTCGTCAGACGATTTGCTCTAGATTGTTTTTTGCAAACTATTAATAATTTTCTTTAATTTTGGTAAAATTTTATTTTTGTGGAAATTTTGCCAACATTTTATTCCCCAGATGAACAGAGATAGAGTGTTTAATCATTCGGGTAAATATACAATCAGATTGCTAGATTCTTGCTTAACATAATTATCTACCTTAATCCTTTGAGCAATACTGTAATATATTACTGGAGCATTATTGTTGTATACATTACATGTAGTTTAGATATATAACGATATCGAGTTAACATTAGATGTCTGCGTATTTGCATCTCTTACAATATGGATCACGTTTTTAAACGTCATGGGAATATAAGTTGGTTTCCAAAGATGTACAAGTTTTGATTATGTTAAACGGATATCTAGTTAGTACATTGGACCCTTATCAACAAATGAATCCCCGAAATAATTGATCCTTAAGATTCTTAAATCTATTTGCGTTTATATTGTTTCCTTGCTGTTTAAACGTTTGTGGTGTATAATGTTATTGTTAATGACAAATGTTGAGGAGTTCTTTGGAGGCAATTAATAGATCAACAATACATAAAGATGTGTATAAAATATTGTCAAGACAATCACAGAATATGGAGCTTCACTGAACATTTGCATACAGTGAATCTCGGGAATCTCCCTCTAGTAGCCCTCTGATACACTTGTAACAATATTCGTACTGATCCTGAAATAGACAAAGAAAAGTAAGCCAAATTAATACATCTCTGTTATCAAATATCTGATGACTTTAAATGCTTTTAAAATCAATATATGCTGCCAAAAAAAGCAAGCCGTTAGAAACGTTTCAATCCGTTTTTATTTTATTGTTCCAGATAGTTCTTTAGTTGAAAGAAGAGAGGCGACAGATACCAAAGTAATATACAAAATATTCAAACTCATAAGTCAAAAATAAAATGATAAAGCCATGGCAAACAAAGAAAAAAAGACCAAAAGAAAAACTAGAGTATACAATAACAAAGAAAACTAAAGACTGTGCGACGCGAACCCCACCACAAAAATTGGAGTAACCTCAAGTGCTTCGGAAGGGCAATCCGATCTTGCTCCACATGTGGTACCTGTCTTGTGGCTCATGTAGGTAAAACCCCATTCATAAGTATAGTTCAGTAGGTCACATTCGTGGATAAGAGGTCGGGATTGTGATTACGACAATTGGATCATATCCGTCGTCATCTATGAAACAGACAGTCTACTGGCGGGTGATGGCTTCCGTTAAATGTTCAAAGGGATGATTTGAACTTCACCACTTGGAACTCTTGGTTTATTAGCTTCCGTGTATGCAGCAACACTCTATCAAGGAAATAATGATATGGAATGCAAACTTTGGAATACAGTATCAACTTGGAAATATATACTCTATAAGCAGGCTTTGTCGGAATGTTGTTAAATAGAAATGGAAAGTTAACAATTGGGAAGCTGAACTCGAGATATGAGAAGACGTAGATGTACAGTAGCTGTATCTTTATTTCAAGTTCACTGGAATAAATGCGATCAACATAGTCACCAAACTTTGCATTATTTAGTTAGGGGACATCATCTATATAGCGGATTGTGATAATGTTAGTTTTTTTTTCATTCGTCATAAGAAGCTCCTGTATGAAAGTATGTTCTGACAGTAAATGTCTTCTACGTCTTTACAACTTTAATATGGAAACAACCAACTGTTTCATTTTGAACGAATCAAAACAGTTGGATGGTCAAATCAATACCGAAGTTGAAAAGGAATCATACCGAAAATTCCAAAAAAAAGTTATGGCAATTACGGCAAAGTTAATCTGGTGGTAGAAATACTTAAAATGATTAAAATATGTCAACGGTTAATGTATTGAAAATGACCATATCAAAATTTACACCTGTTAAAATGGATTGATTGATTGATTGATTTTTTGTGTTTTAACGCCACTTTTAAGCACCTCTTTTGGGCTATTTCGTGGCCGCCAGTTTTTATTGGTGGAGGAAGCCGGAGTGCCCGGAGAAAACCACCGACCTTCGATAGGAAAACTGACAATCCTAGACAATTAAGATTGGAGTCGAGTGCACCCGCATGAGCGGGGTTCGAACTCACAACCTCAGTGTTGACTGGCTAGTGATTACAGTAGTAACTACTTAGACCACTCAGCCACCGAGGCCCCTGTTAAAATGGATGGTTAATGACAAAAATAAAACAGACAAGCAAAAGTTCAATCATTAATATATGAAAAGCTTTTTTATGGATGATTTTAATACATCTGTTACGTAAAAATGTCATTATTTGAAAGTTGGAGTTAAAAAAATGTTATTATAAACTTTATTTGCAATCGACCTTAAATGTTTACATTCACGTTTGTCAAATTAAAAGGATTATCTCATCAGATGTTAAATGGTATAGTTAATATTCTACATAATGGGTTACTTATTGAGATGCCTAATTCCTTTGTTTTGTAATGTTATCTAAAACGTTTTTTTATAAATAAATACAATTACAACTAACCAAGAATAGAACGACATTTTAGATGTTTTTAGACAATTATAGTTATTTTGGAAACATCTGATTTCTGCATATCAACAGCCTTTTTGGATACCAACTTTAGACACACTACGCAGACATTTTAATCTCGCAACCTAGCAATTGGAAAATATACTTCACTATTTCATGTATTTTGCAATATTAAATCTTTGCAAACTTACCAATTCCCCCAGGAATTCTGGTCGCCTCGTTTGAATTTCTCTAACTACTTGGAAAATATCGATTTCCTCATCGATCTGCATTTTTTCTAAAACCAATTTCAATGCCACAAATAGCCCACTCTTGCTACAACCATCACTGAAATAATGAGTGTAACCATCTGGAAATTATGTTTGGCGTTTGTATTCAGTTATAGTTCAATTTATTAATCTTCAATATTTCAAAGTTTAGTTCAACTTGACAATTGAGCATTTACTTTTGTATTTGAGTTTATGTATATTATTCTTCAAAGGTTGATTCTTGAGTATTTATGAATAATCCTGTTTGAGCGTCAATGTTATGTCTTTTGTATACGAAACACACGTTTGACGTTCAACATTATGAACCTTGTATCGTTGAGGAAAACAGAATGTCAAAACTTTTAAGCGATAGGTTAAATAAGGATAAATAAAGGGTCATAAATGTTTCTAAAACCGTGATAAATAAACAAGCATAGAGTTAATATATATTATAAGTGTGTAAAGTTGTATATGTACGATTTATTTTTCAACAACATACCTGCAAACTACTGTTATAGGACATTTTTGCATTTCCCAACAGTTCTGTACACGTTGAAGAAGATCTAACATGTACTCTGGTGATGGTGGTGCATTAGTTATCGTCCAATCGTCAGCAGTGAAAACATTTAATGATATCGTTTCTTTACTTTTCTGTAAAAATACACAAATCACAATGTAATGCTAAGTACAGTAATATAATCAGATAAGTTTTCTCATTGAAAATGTCAGGTGTTTAGTGAAAAACTAAAATAACACTAAATAAACTAATCAAAGATACAAACCATTTTTATAACAGACGCGCGTTTGGTTTTTATAAGACTCATCAGAGGCGATGAAATCAAATAAGTTAGGAGGCTAAAATCAAAGATGGCGCATTGAAAGTTTTAAAAAGTTTTGGAAAATATCATGATAACTTCTGATTTAGGGTTGAGAATTGTCTTATTGACCATCATACCACATCTTCTAATTTATATTTACTGCTTCACCATATTGCTTACAGTGTTTTCTGACTCGTAAACGCATGATGCAGATTTCTTTCAGGTGTTTCTAACATATAGAATGAAAAGACACTTATAATTTCATCTTTTAATTCGTTATGCTTTTAAGATGACGTACTCTCAATGAATAATCAAAATTTTGTGAATATTTTGATCGCATCTTCCATTTCCCATTGAACGAAATTAAATACAAAGTAGTCGCAAGTTATTCTGCTGTATATCTTGACTTAATTTATCTAGCAACTTACAATTAATTAATCGCCTAATTTGTACATGTCATAAACAACACAACAGTTGCCGAGCCAAAGTAAAACAAGGAATTCTTACAAAACCGAACCAGCCGAGTTATCTTCCGTGTATGATAAAGTTTGTGTAGTTCAATAGTAAATTTTAGGCGTTACAGTTGTATTTAATAGGCATATAGTTTTTTTTTCTTTTCGACGTTTTTCTTCCGGCTATAGCATTGTTCTGCTTTCTTTGAATTGTAGCTTATGATCTAGTCTTGGTATCTAAACCTCTTTCTCACATACATAGCATTATTCATGTTGTTATATGGAATAACAAAGCGGTATGATTTCTATTTTTTTAAATTTGCAGTCTATTATTAACAATCTCTCGTTTTACATTCTTTTATTGTCAGTGAACTTTCAAGCATTGAGCTGGTCTCTGGTAAAGTTGGCAAAATATGTTTTTTTTACTGAAATCAGTGGTGTATTTCTCTAGAATTAGTCATTAAGCTAGCAATTGATAATGATAAAAAGTTAGGGTAACATCATTTAACTAACCCTGTGCACTCAAGGGGATGTTAATTCATCTTCTAAATTAATGTATATTAAAATTAAGCTTATACTAACCGTATGATTCACAGTGATCTGAAGCTCTTTTTCTAAATTTTCATTTTCTTTTATAATGCTAAAATCATCAAACTGAAGCTTTTCTTTCTTTTCTAACCATAATGGAGCACCCTGAGAAGAATAATCATTTAGTTTTACCTTCCAAAACCTAAATGTTGTAAAGCAAATTGTATTCGCTGATACTTTCGTTGCATTTTCCTTTTTCTATTTTATTTCGCAGTAATGGATTGCCACGTTTTTTTTCAATTTTGTGTTAAATATTCATCAAAGGGAGAATATTCTACTTTAACATTTTGATGTAGATTGAAGCAAGCATTCGCTTTAAATTTTTTCTAGCAAAAGTCAAGAAATAAATTGCTTGAGAAGACAAGTTGGTTAACATTAACTTTTAAATAGTATATCTACAAATAAATTTTGCGTACAAAGTTTTAAAAGATAAGTACAGAATATATTTAATGACGAAATCACATTCTGTACTTGTTATTATACATTTATGAATGAATGTTCCTATGTTTAATGCATGCCTGGATAAAATAGTTCCTTATCACATCAACAACGGTGACATGCAACAACCGGCTAGATAAGAGTCACTTAAGTCTTGGAGAACATGATTTATGTATTAGTTGTAATTGGCTTTGAACTAGCTTTCATTTACTGGGAGTAGTCATATTACCACTGTCTGAGGTAAGAGGAGGGATGAGAGCTTACACACATGCTGAACCCCACCATATTCCTTATTTGCCTGTCCCACGTCAGGAGCCTGTAGTTCAGTGGTTGTCATGGGTTCATGTTTGTCATATTTTTTTTCGTAAATTGTTTTATTATAAATTAGGCCGTTAGCATAGTTAGTATTCTCGTTTAAATTTTTTCACATTTTTTATGTCGGGGTCTTATATAGCCGACTATATGGAATGGGTTTTTCTTATTGTTGAAGGCCATACGGTTGTCTATAATTGCTAACATCCTCTTCATTTGAACACTGCTGGGTAATTGTCTCATTTGGCAATTATACCATGTATACCACACCTCCTTATTTTTATAAGAATAAACTTAATATAGTTGAAATAAGTCAAAGTAGATCGACAAATCTCACCTTATTTGCTGGATCCAACAGAACAATAATCTTGGAACCGTGGTCAAACATCATTGTCCAAAAATCAATTACAGTTTCAACCAATGGACACTGCGTTACAAATAATTTACTTTCCGCCGAATAACCCTGCATAATTAACAGTGAATAAAGGCATCATGATTACATTTAATAATAGGAATAATGATATGACGTTTTATTCAGTGAAAATTAAATTTGATATCGTTATATGATAATCTTTAAATCAAATTAATAAGATTTATGACGGAAAATAGTATACTTCATAACAACGAACTCCCGTTATGTAAACAAACAACTGCAACTTTGCCTTACCACATTTAACGTATGTGATTTGTTTGATAGGATTTTATGCAAATTTCTTCACTCTTGTGGTGACTTTATTCACTGGTTGACGACAAAGGAGCAAACTGGGACAAAATCTATCTTAAAAGAGTAACTTACACACTATATAAAATGTTGATAATAAGAGCGTACCGTGTTATTTTTACAAATGATCAACCGAAATATCAAATGACACATACCCTATCAACATATAATTCACACGTAATGTGAAAACTAACATAATAAGTTACAATGCCAAAAAATATTAACATGAAGTTGCACAGGAAACCTATGGAACGCCACAGCTGTCTTATGTGGAACTCTGATATTACTTTATGTTGTTTTATTATTACTTGATGGTATTTTGTCTTTACTTAATATGGTTTTGACATTACGTAATGATGTTTTGATCTAACTCAATATGGAATAGTCATTACTTAATGATATTTCGATATTACACGATATGGCTTCGTATTGACTTGATATAGTTTTGTCATTACTCAATATGGTTTTGTCATTACTCGATGTGGTTTCACCATTATTTAATGTGGTTGTGTCATTAGTCAATGTGGTTTTAACATTACTTGATGTGAATGTGACTTAACGTTATGTAGTTGTTTCATTACATGATGGGGTTTTGTTATTTCGTAATGATGATTTGCCTATTCTTTATATGGTTTTAACATTACGCAATGATGTTTCAAAATTTGACGATTTTACACTACATGATGTGTTTGTTTCATTATTTGATGTGGTCCTGTCATTCTTTGATGTGGTTATCCCATTACTTGATGAGGTAAAACCACGTGACCAATTCGGAAAAAAATATGTTCTATTTTTAAACAGATTTCAATATATCGTTTGTTTAATGTGCTTTGGATGGGTATCGCTATTCATTGAGTTAAAGTTCATATGAAAGTTCGAGTGGTTGTTCAAAGTTATTTGGTATGAAAAAGGGGAACAGCAGACAATAATAAGAAAAAAAGTATTAAAAAGTTTACAGTATTTAGGACATAATTGGGATATCCCCAAACCACTTGGTCCTGTTGTTTTTATCCTAAGTTCTCAAACGGAAGCAGTATTTTTGTAATAAATTTGTAAAATATTCCACGGAACCCTGTGTCTCGCCTGATATTGCTGCTGTAAGTGTAAAAGTGTCATGTTGATCGGCTGTACATTTATCTAATATACATTCATCGGTAAAAAAAAAAAAAAAAAAAAAATGATTTTCTGTAGATGTTTTTGCTTGAAATTGAGGAATAACTCCTATACAAGTTTTAAAACACTTCATGGAGGTTTACAAATTTATCATGTCAAAACAGTTTAATTCGGTTTTATTTAAATAAAACAAAACTATATGGTTTTCAACCATGAGCAAAACCCATACCCTATAGTAAGCTATTAAAGGTCCCGAAATGAAAAATGTAAAAACCTAGAAACCTAACGATCTATAGATAGATAGATAGATACTTTATTCTCTAAAAACTAAATACAAGTTTACAGAGAAACATACAATATAAATATAGATACAATAGTCGAGGTAAACAAATCCAGTATGATATTCTGAAAGTAATATACATGGCATACATGTTTAGTAACATGTATAATGAAAGGTTAAACTCAATAAAAATAAAAAATAGAGATGGAGACGCCGACGCCACTATCGACGACGAAATAAAGGTTTGTTGTGTCTCACTGCCGCTACATTGATGTCGCAGGCTCGACACAAATCAAAAGACTTGAACTTTATTGTTAACAAATGAAACACTTCAAATCAACTCACACTAAAGTTACAGGGAAACGGGGGGAGGTGGGCTCGGACTAAGCGACAAAGCATCAATACTATAAAATAAGAATTCTCCGAATTTTTTTTAGCGTAAATGATCATTTGAACTTAAACGAATATCAATCTTTTATTTGTAATCAATTGAATTCCCTGAACTACCTCGCACTAATTGAAAAATAAACTTTTTGGAATATCTGTTTCATATGTGACGACGGACATGTTCCAGTGGTCGTAACCATAAAACCGTCATCTTTTCCTTGAATGTAAACTACCAAATAAAACCAAATCACTGGGTTTGTACTTTCTCGAATAACACGACGGGTGACTTTCTGGAGCATCCGAGATCACCCCGACGGATTTATATTACCCAGTCATACCGATCTATTGAAACAGCCAAATGAAACTGTTTTGTATGCCACCGCAACTGAAAGTTGGGGGGGGGGGGGCATATTGTTTTACCCCTGTCTGTCCGTCCGTCCGTCCGTCCCATTATGGGTATATAGTTAATCCGCATAACTCCTCCTACAGTTTGAATCCTAGGAAGTTTTCTCTTTACTTACTGTTTGTACATATATTGAAGGTGTGCATGTGGTCAGGGTTTTTATTTTTATTATCTTTTGTTCTTTTGGGAGATAATTGAACTTTTTTTTTCATTTTTGGGGTAAAAGCGGTTAAATGAGTTGAGTGCGGGGGCATCACTTTGTCTAGTTTACCTTTTTTTTTTCTCGTGTTGTCCTGTTACACAACTGTAACAGTCCGATGTAAGGTTAGGATTTAGCGCTCACATACATGTTAAACTCCGCCACGTGCACTTTCTTTATGTACCTGCCCCACGTCAGGAGCATGAAGTTCAATTGTTGTCGTTGTATAAATGTGTGTCATTTTTTTTTTGTAGATTGTTTATTTATAAATAAGACCGTTTGTTTTTTCGTTTGAATTTTTTCACATGTTGCATGGTGGCCTTTTTGTAGCTGACTATACGGCGTGTTGAAGGCTGTACGGTTGCCTATATATGATTTCTTACATCCATTGCATTTAAACTCTGATGGAGAGTTGTGTCATTGTCAATCACACCACATCTAACTTTATTTCAACTTCTATGTTGCGTTTTGTATACTGTAACATTGTTTATCTTTTGTACGCATACCCCGGAGCCCTCTTTTCGGAAGCCCGAGCAAAAGTCCTTGTTCCGCGATAGAAAATTTAATTACGAACTCATATAAGATAGCTCGAATTTCAACTCAAAATCTTAATTAATCTAAATAAGACTTAAATTCGAATCTTACTCAAACTCTACCTCAAAAAGTGACTCATATTTAATGTTGTAACTAGAACTCTACCTCAGTTAAATGTGACTCAAACTCGAAATCCAACTCGAAACTCAATGCTAACTAAAACTTTAATTCTAATAATGACTTGAATTCGAAATCGAAGACTAACTCAAAGTTAAACTCAAACAGTAACCCGAACTTTAATTTGAACTCTAATTCGATGGATGGCCACTCTCATCCAAGGCACATACAACATGGAAATCTATCTAAAAATAGAACAGGTTTTTCCGAATTGGTCACGTGATTTTACCGCATCAAGTAATGGGATAACCACATCAAATGACAGGACCACATCAAATAATGAAACAAACACATCATGTAGTGTAAAATCGTCAAATTTTGAAACATCATTACGTAACTTTAAAACCATATAAAGAATAGGCAAATCATCATTACGAAATAACAAAACCACATCATGTAATGAAACAACTACATAACGTTAAGTCACATTCACATCAAGTAATGTTAAAACCACATTGACTAATGACACAACCACATTAAATAATGGTGAAACCACATCGAGTAATGAAAAAACCATATTGAGTAATGTCAAAACTATATCAAGTCAATACGAAACCATATCGTGTAATATCGAAATATCATTAAGTAATGACAATCCATATTGAGTTATATCAAAACATCATTACGTAATGTCAAAACCATATTAAGTAAAGACAAAATATCATCAAGTAATAATAAAACAACATAAAGTAATATCAGAGTTCCACATAAGACAGCTGTGGCGTTCCATAGGTTTCCTGTGCAACTTCATGTTAATATAGAAATAATTGAAGCAACTTCAGAGGGTAGAAATTGTATATTGAATATAAGTATTGAGTTAAAGAGTTTACTCACAGGAACTATAACTGCATTTATGTAGTCGTTTCTGTTTCTACCGTAAGACATTAAGTAAGGTCTATAGTTGTCATCTAAAACCAAATAAGTAAAAACAAATAGTTCGTCTACTTATCTATATGAAGTAGTGAATGTTTTCCACTTGTTTTTATACTTGTAAATTTTTCATATGAATTTTAAAACCAACATTTGCCTCTTTTCAAAATGCAAAGATTTCAAACCATCTTTGTTTTTCCGTCTATGATACTGACAATTGACGCTTGTTTATACAGTATTGACACCGTCGTATGTAAACATAAAAATAAGCAAAACTAGATACAAAAAAAAACTCAAACTTCTATTTCACATAGATTGTTTACCTGTATTTAAGTTTCATAAATCAAATAAGAAGATACCAATCAATGTAACACACAAAATATGAGAGAATAACACGAACTCCAAATGGGGTCTCCATTTTTACATCATGTTATAACCGCCATGTGAACTCACGCTCAGTCAAAGTTTTAGAATTGTGAAACGGATACAATCGGTAAAAATATGGATTAGATTACTGTTCTTTTATCTTAGATCTAAGACAGCAAAAACAAGTCGATCGTGAGTTTCGAAACATATACATCGTATCGGTCAACTAATTTGCGATGGTGAAAACTTAGGAAGTGTCGATTTTTAATCGCTCTTTCTCCAAGCTATGTTGGAGCACTTTTTGGTAAGGGGCATTTCTCTTATAATGTTGTCCGTATAATTGGAAAATGTACGACAGTAACGTATTAACTGAGATACGTATACGCCATACGATTGAGAAGATGGTATGTTTCTGTAAAGAAATGGATAGTTGACAATTGGAAAGTTGAAATAATTACGTGTATATAAGATTTTAGTGTGAAGTCATTGATTTGTGTCAATATCGAGAAAAAAAAACAAGATTTAAAGCAAGACCTCTGGCAAAAAAATTGTTTGTTAGTGTTTGTTTAATTATTCCGAAGAATACTAATGATTAGACAAAAACTACAAAACTACTGAAGTGAATTTTTTTTTAAAGAAAAAAAAATAAAAAATAAATTGCTTGTGACATTTGGAAAAAAACAATAATTCTGATTTTAACATATTCAATGAAGTAACGTTATATGTGCAACAAGAACACACTTAAATTCAAATTAATATATATCCACTTTACTTACTTGCAAGAATAGACTTTGAAGAATTTTTTGATAAGTTTTCTTTACGTCTTGCAGCTGTATAATTATCAGCAGAATATAATGGACGCAACGTTTGCAATCTCTAAAATGTAAATATTAAGTAACTTTTTTGTGGTTGGACATACTGATTAAAAATAAGACTTTTTAGAGAGGAATGTACCAATTTTAATTCACAAATTACTTCTCGGATCAAGATAGTTTCCGGTAATTTGTTTGTAATGGTGGATGATGCCAAGGTACCTCATATGATCTTCAGTGGACAGTGAATGACTTGAAATCAGTGTACAAAATGTAAGTTCAGTTTGTATGAATGTGTGGTAACATCAGCAACAGTTTATGACTGCGAGTTTTATATTCTTACTGAATACACGTTAATGTTAAAGTACATGGAGGAAAGTGCTTAATCGTTATCATGTGACTTCTTTCAAATAATAATATAATGACATATATTAAAATGAATATTAAACCATAGTCTCATTACTGTTATTTATGTATTTTAACCAAAACTGTTTCTGAAGTATAACGGTTGAGGAGAAATAAAACCAACTTAAAGATAAAACTTGATTTACATTATATATTAAAGCTACATGTAGATGTTTAAGCAGAAGCAACACCTCTGTGAAGAAAATAGTTTGCAAGACATCAACAAAAGAGAATACCTGAAACTCTTCTCTAAATACTGTTTGATTTTTTGGTAATGTCTTATGCTCCTGCTTTTGAATATATTCACAGAAAACACTCTTTTGAATGGACGTATCTGGAACAGCAAACAATTCCAGCAGTGCTTCAAATACGGCCTCATATTGTTCCTGAAACATGTAAAATGCGGAAAAAGCGTGTTCATTAGAATTGGTTGATATTTATATTCATCACATTGGTGGTAATGAAATACCGTGATTTCCAAATAGAATAAGAAACCAAGAATTTCACATAGGAAATTAAGCTGATAATTTCTATCTTCTGACGTCATACAACAATTTGTAAGGACTGTAAATATAGTTAAGGTTTTATTTTATTTCCATTACAAAACTCTATGACCAAGTAGAAAAAAAAAATATATTCTACGAAATCAAGTATCAAAACACTGACAATTAGCTCATGAGTTAGTTTATGTGATGTTCGGTTAAGATAGCTGAATTTTTGGACTTGTTATTCTATACATATGTTTGTTCATAAAAGATATCATATTGCAACACAAATGATTATGTAAACCGTAAAAATAGCGTTTTCAAATGTTATTTCATATCAAAGTATGCTCCTGCTTTTGAATATATTCACAGAAAGCACTCTTTGAATGAACGTAGCTGGAACAGTAAACAATTCCAGCAGTGCTTCAAATACGGCCTCATATTGTTCCTGAAACATGTAAAATTCGGAAAAAGCGTGTTCATTAGAATTGGTTGATATTTATATTCATCACAACGGTGGCAATGAAAGACCGTGTTTCGAAGAATAGATTTATTTTTTTTCCTTTGGCCATAGAGTTTTGTAACTGAAATAAAATAAAACCTTAATTATATTTACAGTCTTACAAATTAGTGATTCAGCAGGTATTCCTTATGGAGCAGGGACTGCGTACCCTTTCTGAGCATACAATTTGTTTTTGTTTAATATACCTTTATATGTTTTGTTTTTCTCTTTATTTCTAGTTCTACATGTCCTAGTGTGGTCTGTCTTTTATTTGTCTTGTGGTGTGTAACTAATGTCATGCACTTCTTTTTATTAAGTAGCGGAATCTTTTGAAATTTCAAACCACCTAATTGTACATTCTCAACATTCACAAAAGAAATTAATTTCAAGGTATAGATATATAATACATAAAGTAACTTACTATAATAAGTTGCAAAAACATGCAATATGTATCTATAAAGCTATACATAATAGATGTTTTTAATGTGAACATCAGCGCATTTAAACGATAAGAGAATTACTACTTCTCAGAAATAAAATTGGTATAACAACAGCTTACAGAACAACTTAATACAACTATAAGACGGTCGTTAATGCTTCAAAAAGGTCGTAAAAGGACCAGTTGCAATATGTAAAACTGAATAAATGAGAAATCCTCTACATGAGCTGCTCATATTACAGTAATTCCTTTAATGAATTGTGATGTTTGTAATTCAAAGGTATTTTGGTTCTTATTACTTCTGATTTAATTACACAATGGAGTCAGGCTGCACGAGCTAGGATAAATGTGATGAAATTTAACAAGAACATACATTGATCTTTTTCAATTGTAGTAACACAATTTCGTTCATCGCATCTTTGATATAGTGGATCCAATATATCAATCTCTAATATACTCGGACGTTGCATTTCTATCAAATTTTTTTCTAGGGGTGTCGTTACTGCACATTTTTTATCAATTTTCGGTTTCTATCTATTGTGTACACGAATCTCATCAGATCAAATATTTCCGTCTTTGCCATATACTTCTATTGGAATTTAGGGATTTTCCCTTTGGTCCTCAACGTTTCATTTTCGCCCAACACTTTTTGTTGGGTATATTGAAAACAGTCATCCTTCTATCGTGCTCTCTGAATATTAGGTATTCGATTTTGTTAAATAAGAAACTTAGTTACAAGTAAATACCATGTGGAATGATCCACAGTACTTTGTGCACAAATCACCACTAAATACTATAGCAATTTATTACCTTTAAAGATATACTCATATACCGCACATACGATAAAGATTATGCATTACAATGATGCTTATGCGGTAAAACGATTGTACTGGTTATTTAAATACCTGTATGTAAAACAATGGGAGTTTACACTCATTTGCTATTTTCCCTGGTCAAGTGATGTTGTTAAAATACAGGGGTCTCTAAGTATACAACCTGGGCTACACTATACACCAGGAATTGCTTGATTACACATTTTTTTTCGTTAAAAAAAGATATACTCATCAAGCAACAGTTGAAGTTGAAGACTTTAAATAAATGTTAATACATTGAATATATATGAACTATTTAAATTATACATACATGTGTTTGTACCATATTCATTCTGTCCTTCCTCATCGTCTGAACATACTCCATAATATCAACATATCCTTCTTTTTGTCCATGCTCATATAATGCATCTATAGCAATGAATGTTCCGGTTCTTCCAACGCCAGCACTAAGATATAAATATTTGATATGAATAATTTCAAGAAAAAGGTCATAATATACAACATGTACACGTTTCCGTCAATCTAGATCAATATGTAAAAGACATACATTAGCGAAATATACTCCGTATCACGGTTGCTTGTAAGAAAAGTATTTTTATAGTTAAAACGCCGTACTTTATCTTTAAATTTTCGTGAAAAAAGTCGAGTAAATAATTATAAATAATTTCGATGTTTACATTGTATTCCTGTAGAGATCATGAAATTAACCAGGATGAAGGGTTTGATCAAGAATTCTAAAAACATTATCGGCAAATACGTTTTCCTAGAAATTACTTTTAAGTGTACATTTTAACCAAATACTAACAAAATATATGGATAATAACAAATCTAAAAAATAGAGATGTATTTAATTACTTCTTATGCAGGAAGAATCCTGCAATCTGATTGGTTAATCACCCAGGTGTAAATAACACCCAACATTGTTCGCCATAATTTCCCCCCAAAAAAATGAAAAAAAAGATAAAAATATATCCATATATAAAATTCAAACATATTTTTTTCCCCTCATTTCCTGGAATGTTTCATAAGAAATAAATTCGTTATCTTGGTGTAATCAGAGGTGTACGGAATTTTACACCAGTGTTGAAAATTCGTACATCCTTCGGCTGCGCCTTAGGGTGTATGAATTTTTCACATCAGTGTAAAATTCTGTACACCACTGATTACACCAAGATAACTAATACTATCTCAAAAATCAAGAGGACAACTTACCCCTTAAGTTAAAACATAATATCTAAAAAAAACTTATTGTTTCTTGTCTTTGTCTTTTGGCTAAACAAATATAAACGTACCTACAATGCACCACCATTGGGGTACTCTTATCTACTTTTATGCTTTTGACTTTTCTGTAAAAATTAACCAATTTGACGCTATCTGGAACACCATGATCCGGCCATTGAGTGAAATGGAAATGATGAACTTTTCGTTCTTGCTTATTCTAAAATTACAGAAGAATTTATTTTTTTATATGTACCAATTATTAAAACCTGAAACATTACATAGATTTTATCTTTTTCTTCTTACTATTAAATTGTTGATGTTTCAATCAACCACTATCGAGATCTAGACAAAAAATAAATTCAACCACACATAAAACATATGCAAACAGCTCGTATCTTAAATCAAAGGTACCGATTGGTCTTAATTGGTCTTAAACAATCTACATGAGAAAACTCAATAGTTATCGCAGAAACTACTTTAAAAATAGTTGATATAGGATTCACAGTAAAAATCACGAACTAACTAATTGTTTGTAAGCGTATTTGCCAAAACATATGCCTTCTCTAACCTTTTAAAATCATTTGTGTGTTAACTTATCCAAGATAAGCTAGCATCTGCTTTGACCACTAGGATTACAACTTATCGAAATTAAAGCAGATCATGTCTATTCTCCAAGAGCACCTGATATACCTCTTAACTCTTATTAATCGTAAAAACTCATCAAAGATGGCTCATTACTTAGTACGCCGGATATGTTGTTTTTTCAGTATGCTATATGTTTGAATTGTTCCTTAAAGAATTCACGTTCTCTTTAACGGTATCAGTTATCGATGGATAGAAGTGTAACATTGAATCATGCATTACTTAGACATGGACTGAAGTTAAAAAATTAAATTACCTTCAAGCTGTTGTTTTGTAGAATAAATAATCTGTACACATACACTGTATGTTGTATCTCTTTTTTCATTACAAGTCTATAAGTATCTACTGGCATTGCTGTGTTGATGCTTTGGGGCCAGTAGTATTCACATTTTTTCTGAAATACAAAAATTCCAAAGTATACGTGTTAAGTTAAACATTAAAAGAAATGTTTTATTTAACACACGTTTTCAATATACATGTTTTCGTGCATACATATTTATTATTTGTGGTAGATGCATTCACATTTTCTTTTATACATTTACCAATCAGTAAATATCCCAACGATAATTTACTTTGTAGGCAGATAGCAAAATATACAACTAAATTCTTTTTCATTACGTAATATACTCTATACACAGAAGTAGATCTGCATAATATAACAGTTACTACAGTATAACCATGTTGTACATAATGCCGTGCAAGGTACACCGTAAATCATTGTTATACATGAATATGTGTCCTTATAACACCGCTTGCACTATCACATTTACAAGTCCAGTTAACCATGACAACCGTACTTTTGCATACCATTGTAGAAGCTCGCACCATAAACAAAAAACGTGAACTACGTTTCAAATTGATTTGAAGACAACTTCAGATTACAATACTTTGACCATTGACTTGTTCATGACAATGTTATGGATAAACAATAACACCGGTACCTATCAATTTTCAATGAACTGTAAAATAAGGGTCATAACCGCTATATGTCACACGAATTGAAATTTCATATCATAATGAGCATATATACTAACTTTCAAATTGGAGTGACTATGGCAAAGTAGCTTGATAGAAAAACTTTAACCTGATACGAGATGGACAAACAGAATAACGAATGGGCGGACGGGCGCTAATTAAAGGCACACAAGGGGCGTAAAAAGGAGGAACAAAATCCAAACTGAATGCCTTTGGATGTAATTTTCACAATATTGTCAAACAGGACCTGGCTACTCATCTGATCTGAAAATTGCATTTGGAAGTAATAATTAAAGGCAATCTTGAACGGAAGAGCGGTAAGAATTACAGACGAAAGGATTGACCAGTTCATTCTTTTACACCGCCAATTCCGTTCAAGGGTTTTTAATGATATTTTAGACATCTAAATCTATACATGCAGATATAATTTGCTTTTCATTAAATAATGACTGATATTAAAATACAAAACAGCTTTATTTTATCTTAATATATGTCAGGAGAACTGTTCCAAAAAACAGTCTCTGGAACAGTTCTCTTGACACCTTTTGGACAGTTTCTGACAAAAGCTGTTCTGACCTGGAACAGATTTCAACAGTTCTACCCTAGACCCGTTTTCGAAAGATCTTGCCTGGATTTTCTTTATTCATATAGTTTTATCCTAGAACAGATTCTATCATTTATATCAATAGAACAGCTACTGACAACTGTAGCTATGACATAGTTATTTTTTAGCTTATCATGATAATTAAATAATTTATTAATACTTTCAAAAGAAATTGCTGAAAATAATTAATTAAATATTAAACACATACTCCTCTTGTGCTCATGTATATATATATATATATATTATTATAAAGAAATAAAAATAGTTTTGATTAAATTTTTAATATACGGAAATAGCAACAGAAACATACACTAAAGACAATGCGTGCTTTTTTACTTTTTAATCCTTTGATCTAAAACAAACGCCAAACAGTTCAATGACAGATTACTTTGACAGTTATAGAGAGAGGTTAGAATTTTCACAAATGTACAAACTGGATAGACTTATGTTGACATCTAGTTGTGTTTCTTTTATCATAACCGTCTCGTGGTTCTCGTGAGGTTTTTTTTGGGAAGATCGCGTTTCGTTCCTTAGTTCGATCAAATGAAACAAAGAAAAAAAAAATGAAAATTGCAGATTTTCCGCTTAGCATGCGGCATCTTGAAGTAACTGCAAAATCCAGTCAGCTCGGCATCAGAAAAATATGTCCAGGTAGGGTAATACTATTTTGTTCATGTCGTATGGTCGTTTTCTCTTTGGTGTGCGCATGTACCCCTCTACATTTTTGCTCTAAGTATACAGATAAAAACATCTTTAATCTGTTAAAAAAAAACGCCGTTAAAAGAAAGAATTATCACAGAAAAAAAGATATAGAAACCATAGAATTTGTATTTTCGTAGTACATTGAGAAGTAACGCGTTCTGTACAACTAAACCATTTTATACTAGAGACATGATACATACATGACACTTTAACTTAACCAGATAAATACCCTTCTTTCCTCTTCTAATTTCGTTACCATCACTATTTTGTTAACTTTTTCTTGCCAGATCATATGCCAGAAATCTCTGATGGTATTCCTTTTCGGACCTTAGGGCATAAAAAAGTATGTAAGCATTAATATAATACAATAAGTCCTTTTTTACATCATTTATCTTTATCGAATGCAAAAAAAAAATTAAATAGATTAGTATTTGTCTTACAAGGAACGATTTCTGAGTAGATAAATTATTTCAAAATCGATCTATTAATTGTTGAAGACTGATTGTTGACATTGTAATGTCTTTTTTGTTGTGGTGTCGACAGGTTGCTGTTTTATTTAGTAATAACTATACTTCACACCTTGTTTCCAAACATGATTTATTTGTTTTCAAATGTTTTTTTTAAGAAAGGGTCCTTTGAAAGATATCCCTCTCACCAATTCTACAAAAAATATGCGATTGTAATGATGCATAAAAGCTTTAGAATAATGAAAATCCCTGTCTCAATGCATAAAACAGAATTGTGTTCTGATAAGTTCGCTATTATAACTATAACAAACCTTGTGAAGCTATGTATGCCTTTTCTTTTTCGTAGCTCTGAAATTAATTAAAATTAATATTATTTCCAATTGAATAACGGTTTTATTATTTTATAATTTTTTTGTTTTTATATCAATGTATCAAATATACGACGTATTGGTGATTAGTTATAGTGTTGTGCCATCAATAATGTTCTGAGACTTTTATCAAAATCTTTAAATGAGACCAGCATTTGTTTTGCCTTTCTTGAAGTTACATTTGTACCATGACTTTTTTGTGTGTTTATATGGTTGTATGACAAGTATTATTGCATTAATATGTAAAGTTTTGAAATAAAATTATCACGTATATCTTACATCAATGAAACTAGCGTTAATGTAATCACTTTTGGTGTCTCCAGTCAGAACAATCCGTGAATGGTCATCTACAACAAAGTCAAATAAAGTTTACTTTGGTCATTGGTTTATTGGTCGGGTTGTTGTCTCTTTGACACATTCCCCATTTCCATTCTCAATTTTATTTAGTTTAAATTTATTTAATTTTTTATTTACACATTTGAAGAGAAATGACACAGAAACAAATTCTTATTATTCGACACCATATAAGTCATAACCAATGTAAGCACATTTTATCGTTTTATGATTTAAACCCATTAAATTGGATTTGGCATGAATATAATGAAGCAATATGTACAGATGTAATAAATTACAAATGTAGACTTGAAGTTGATCTACTAGGATTGTTTGTTGATTGTAAGAAAGAAATACAAAATAAGTGTGCTCAATACGTGGTCTGTTTAAACAAAAAAACTTAAAAATTCGTTGTGCTGCTTTTGACTAAACACGTGGTATTTAGGGGTAAATAAAGGTTGCCCAGGAATCAGAAGAATGTGTCTAATAGGGTGATAAGGCTTCCTATGAACTGCTTCTTTCTGCACTAGCACCTTATAATGCGGCTCTATGTGTCGGTCTGTAACTAGTACAAACAAGGTTGACACATTATTATGCTACTGTCTCAATATACATCTAGTATTTTCTAGAAAAAAGAGTGGTATTTCATTTCTGTTCATAAAATATCGAGAATATAGCAAGGGGCAACTATAAACAATAAGTTAAAAAAAAAAACAAATCATACAACGTTTTAAAATATCTGCATGGCAACCAATAAGTTGTTATTGTTATAGGTTGCATTTTGTAAATACAGCTGTTTCAAAAACCACGCCACTTTTGGGGAGATATTCATAGATATTTTGTTTTGTTTACGTACTGGTTCCCAGATATGATATCTATGTTTCATCTCATAGAGACATAACTTGGGAATGTTACCTGTATAAATGCACATGGTAGGCGGTGGAATTGAATTCTGAGTAAGACATAAAGTGAAAGGAGGGGCAGTGCATAATTTTTTATTTTTTTTTTATTCAACAACAATATTGCACATGCTGTTAACAGATTTCTTCACTGGTACAGCTATTTCAGTGGAGATCCCTGTATATTAGTACCTTAAGACCAGGGTATCTTCAGGTATATATTTATAATTTTGTTAGTATGTATATTATATGTCTTTAATACATTGTTTATCATTAATACATTATTTCTCTATTATTTTACTATTATATCTCTGAATATGAACTTTATATATATAGTAATATACAATCAATTGTTACTATCTGATAGATGTTGGGAATAAAACAGAATAACGGGTTATCTTAGCGTGTTCGGAACTTGGTTTGTGGTTTAATATATTTCTCTGTTGTCCGGTATACGGTTTTTCAGTTGTTGTATTTTTGTGTGGATTAATTGATTTCACCACGTGTCTCCTAAATATAATTGTATTAGGCACGGAAGGTATGTACACAAAAAAAATTTTGGTCTCATATAGTAAGCATAATTTATATATCTTCCGTATAATCTAAAATTACAGTAGAAATAAGAGGTACTTTCACTTTCAAAACTCATTGAAATTGTAAAATGAAATGATCATCTATCTAACCGGTCTGTTAAATTACATATATAATAACAATATTGACAATAATATAACAATGTTGTCAAATATAAGAATATATCTTTTCTAGTATCCCATTTCCTTCAATATAAATATATTTTTTTTGTAATAATAATCCTTTTTTAAATTCTGACCTAAAAACATTATATAGATTGATATTTTTTGTCCTATATTCTGACAAATAGTGTATTTTGTGTATAGTGAACACAATAACTGTAAGTAAAAAGTTTATTTCATAATAATGTTCATCATTAATTTTATATCCCCAAATTAAATTTTTTCAGTGAAAATGTGTCTACCAATCTTAGCTATTTCAAATAACTTATATATTTCGCCCCAAAACTCATCTAAAAAGTGGCACGTTACAAAAAAATGTTCATAGTCTTCTGTAAGGTTACAAAAAATACAGGTAGAGTTATGGCTTATTTTCCATTGTTTTAACAACACTTTGTTTGGAAGAATAAAGTGTAATAGTTTCCATCTGCACATTTTCAGTTTATTATCTTTAAATAGTTATGAATAAATTTTTGCATATATTGAGCTTCACTTTGTATATTTTCACATTTTAATATTCTGTTCCACTTATGATGCCCTATTGGAATTTCTTTCTCATATTCTATTAAAATTGTATAAATTTTCTTCGAATCTAATTTTTCTAGTTTATGTTTGCAATTATTTTTTTCACTTATATATAGTGAGTTATTTGTTAAAACACTAGTTTTTATTGAATTTTCTTCATTTAATATTTTTAACCATTCTTTTGGGATTACTTTTCTTAATTTTTAGAATTCAGCTATCCAATTCGATTTATTCTTTAATTTTAAACTTATAATTTTTTCTGAAAAGACTCCATTTTCATCAATAATATCATTTATATGAATGATATTGCTATCTATCCAGTTTTGGAAAAGTAGTGTTTTCTTTTGAAACTTGATCAATTGATTTCCCCAAATGACTTCTTGGCGGATAAGTCTGTAATTATTTGGATGTTTAGTTTTATTATTTTTATTTTTAAACCATACTTTAATCATATCAAGATAAAATTCTGGTAGCTCTTTAGTACCTGGTAGCGAGTATATATTATAAGTATTCACTCTTAAGATAAGTAGATTGCTACCAAATTTATTTAGATAAAATTTTGGTATAACCATCCGATTAAGAAATTTATCAGCAGTTAATCTTTTTATCCAACCTATCTTAATAGATTCTATATATTTATCTATATTTACCATTTTTAATCCGCCATCTAGTTGGTTGAAGCTTAATACAGTGCGTTTAACTTTTTCTGTCTTATTGTTCCATAGAAATTCATATATAATTTTTTTTAAATTTATCTAAATACTCTTTGCCCAAGGTTGAGACTGTAGCCAAATAAGTAATTATAGGAATAACTAAAGATTTAATAACTGTTATTCTTCCTATCATGGTTAAGTTTCTTTTTTTCCAATAAGATATAATTTTTACAGACTTTTCTAGCTGTTTTTCAAAATTTAGTTTAAGACACTCTTCTTTGTTATACCCAAAATATGTCCCGAGACTTTTAACTGGTTTATCTGTAAAGTTAATATTTTAATATTTTTCTTCACAATGTTTTTGTTTCCCTAGCCAAATACCCTCCGTTTTAGATCTGTTAAGTTCTAATCCTGACAGTGAACCAAATGTTTCAATCATGTTAAGAGCTTTTGAAATATCTTGTTTTAATTTGAGAAAAAGAGTGGTGTCATCTGCTAGCTGACTTATTTTTAAAGTATGGGGTTTTCCATCTATCTTGATTTCAAATCCTTTAAGGTTATGGTCTTGCCTAATTTTACAAGCTAGAATCTCCACAGCAATAACAAAAATTATCGCACTACATGGACAGCCTTGACGTATTCCACGATATATACTCATGGGTTTTGAAATCCACCCATTATTTAAAACTGAACTTTTTATGTCAGAATATAAAAGTTTTATCCATCTCATCATAGAATTTTGAAATCCAAATTTTTGTAAAGCAAAGAACATAAAATCCCACTCTAATGAATCGAATGCCTTTGAAAAATCTAAGAATAATAAAGCGCCCTCTATATTAAATTTGTCTGCATAATCTATGACATCTTGAATTTGTCTAATATTATATCCTATATATCTGTTTTTAACATACCCATTTTGATCTCCATGAATAATTTGGGGTAATATTTTGATGATTCTTTGAACTAGTGAATAAGCAACTAATTTTGTGTCAACATTCAATAATGTTATTGGTCTATAATTGTCTAAACTGAGAGGATCATTTTTTTTATGTAAAAGAGAAATAACTCCTAATTTTTGTGAATTTGATAATTCCCCTTTTTCAAATGAGAAATTAAAAGTTTTGACTGCAAACTCTTTAAGATGTTCCCAAAAAGTTCTATAAAATTCTACACTTAAGCCATCAATTCCTGGGGCTTTATTTAGTTTCATTTTAAATAATGAATCTGTGCATTCTTGAGTGCTTAATAAGCCTTCCATACTATCGCCTTCTTTATCTATTAGGACATGATCACATTTTGTATTCATAACATAATCTTTTATAAAATTTTTATTGGGATTTGAACTTTTATAAATTTCTTCATAAGATTCCCTTTCAAGATTTAGTATTTCTGTAGGATGTGTATATATTACCCCCTCTTTGTCCCTGAGCGCTGTTATAGTTTTTCTTGTTTGCCTAGCTTTTTCTAGTTCCTAGAAGAATTTTGTGTTTTTTTCTCCTCCTTCTACCCACTTAATTCTAGATCTTATTTGTGCTCCTTTTGTTTTTGAATCATATAGTTTACAAAGTTTTTCTTCTATAATATTAATTTCCTCTTTAAAAGAGTTAATAGCAACCTTTTTACATTTTTTGTTTGTACCCTCATTTAATTTCTTCAATTTGTTTTCTAAAATATGTATTTCTTTTACATTATTTTGTGCTTTTCTTTTGCAGAATGCTATGGTGTGGTCTCTAACCTCGGTTTTAAACAGATTCCACTTGACACCAATATCATTGGTGAGTAATATTTTCTTTTTATATTGTTTGATTAGAATTTTGATAAGGTTTTGATATTCTTCATTTTCTAAAATACTATTATCAATTTTAAAGTATCCTTTACCTTTTTGGTCTGATCGACCTTTTATCTTTATTGAAATTGCCTGATGGTCTGTATGAGTTATAATAGCTGGCCTAATATCAGTAGATTCTACTTTAGTTCTTATTTCAGGACATGTTAAGAAAAAATCTATTCTAGATGCTTCATTTAAATTATTTTTACGTCGCCAAGTAAATTGTATTTCCCTGCCATGAAGCTCTCTCCAAATATCACTTAGTTTTTGGGTTTTAATTAAAGATTTAAGGCTAAATACTGGTTTTGTTTGTTTTGATTTTTGTGTTGACATTTTTTTTTTGTTATCTATTTTTGTTAA